CCAGACTGCAGGGGAGCAATCCAAGACTGCTGAGGTCATGAGTAGAAGAGGGGACCAATGGCCAAAAATGGGGATGCCAGAGTTTCCAAAGGGATAACAATTATAGTTTATTAAACATATCAAGTCAAACATGTTTAAATCCATGAAATAATAAGCTATTTCAAAAATTAAAATTAACTGGTCATTTTTTACCAGGGAATCAGTGCATTATCTTGACAACTGATAAACAATAAAGAAACACACATTTATTCTGCTTATCCTGTATGAACACAAGTGAGAAAATTAAGAGGAACTGAGTAGGGGTATCTCTTTATGAAAGTATCCCAAGTAATAAAGGAAAATAAATAATAAAATTAGAACATTACCATTTTGCAACTTTAATGTAGAATTTTCAAAGGACTGAGAAACACACTGAACTATGCTATGAATATACAAACAACCAGATCCACTTTATGGAACACTACGATTTCAACAGATCAAGTTTAAGTAAAAGGAAGGGCCTCTGAAGATAGAGATTCCATTAAAATGTTTTTATGGATGATATACTATGGTTTCTGAGGTTGTACACTTAGATGGAAAAACAGTACGGTGTACAAGACAGTGAGTAAAGTTCATGACAGTGGTTACTCCGGGGAAAAAGGGAGAGGCTAAGAACGGGACTGAAAAGCCCAGTCACTGCCAGATGGTACAAAGTTTTTCAACCTGGGTGCCGTTTCCAGGGGTTTCCCTTACAGTAGCTCATTCAACTATGTATTTACTTCATGAGATTTTATTTATATATTTATCTTCTTATAACAAGTTTTAAAAACCTGACATCTGTAAAATACAACAGAATACATATGTCCTTTGGCTGGATGAAGGCTGACACAGTACATGTGTTTCCTTGGAAGAGATATTTCTCAGGTATTTTGGCTTTTTAGTTAAATATATCTGCAATTAATCTTCTAAATGCCCTTTTTGTCAAAGTGCACTATATGAGCAGTTGGTCACATTACCATTTTAGTTATCGCTCCTGAATAATCACTGCAAAAATAGTGTTTAATTCTTATGAAAAGAATAATTTGTGAGATGACATTTCCTTAGCCCTGACAACAGCTCTACAGCCTAATAGCGCTGTTTGTGTATTTTTGATTAACTTGGTAAACAACTTTATTGTTTGTTTCTTTGTTCGTTTTGCCATACTGGGGACTGAACCCAAGGCATTCACACTGAGCTACAATCCCCAGGCCTTTTAATTTTGTTTTAAGATAGGGTTTCACTAAGTTGCTAAGGTGCCCAGGCTAGGCTCAAATTTATGATCCTCCTGCCTCACTCAGCCTCCCAGGGTGCTGGAATTACAAGCATGCTCCGCCACAGCCAGCTCAGGTGACTGTCTGAATACGATATTGTGAAATTACTGCCACATTCAGAAATCATTACCAAATGAATACATCTAAACAGTTAAAATATCTGCCTAAGTATAAAAGTAGGGTATGAATAAGTGGACCTCATATCACTGTCAAACTTTTCAAAAGGAAGTTTAAGGAGTATGTGAAAATTTAAATGAAAATTACTATCAGATATAATATACACATATCCTATAAAAATATATTTTTATGAATTTACTGGTAAAAAATTTTCTGTTTCTACATTATCTATTGAATATTTTTCGAAAGAATTTTTTTCTTATACTACATAACTACCTCTGCTCTGTGCTTCTAATTAAGATATGGACTTGTTTAGAGCTCTGTGGTGTGAAATTAGACCAGCAGTTTTCTAATATCCATAAAATAAATTAAAAATGTTTTTCCTCTGAAAGACAGATAATTCAGTCACAGAGAGCTTACTCCTATGTTTCCTTTGTTTTCTTTTTCTTTTTTTAGCTGCTTGGTAAGCCAATTTTCTACTTAGAATTTACTGTTAAAACTCTCATTTGGTTCAGTATGTGGGCTTTATCCTTTCCATGGTCTGTTATACAAAAAAGATGGCTTTAGTTTTTTTTCAGTTTTCTATAAAGCAGTGGATTTCAACTTGGATAAACATGAAAATCCTCAAGGAAACCTGTAAAAGATACTGATATCGCCTCCCCTCCAGAGATTCTGAGGGAACTGGTCTGGGTGGGCCCCTTAAAAGCTTTGCAAGTGACTGTAATGTGTGCCTAAGACTAGGAACTCTACTGTTCTAGGATCTAGGATCCTGCCACTGTCCAAATTAAAGCTTATTATCTTCTGATTAAATCCAGATGGGAAATGCTTTTTAAAATTCTATGGTTTAATAGACCAGACACTGAATTTCTTCTCTACGAATATTTTTTTTTTTTTAGTTTGAATTTTAGGTTTTAAAAGCATAGTATAAAAACAATATATTATATTTTATATTCTGATGATCAATTTAAAAAGTTTCCTCACTGATAGTGAAAACAACCTAAAAGTGATATGCCTCAATAGACTGGTGGCTTTTATTCATGATATTCTTTTTTTTCCATTCATGATATTCTTTAAAAAAGAAAAAAGCAGTACCTCATAGTTAAACCTTATACCTTCAATACAGAAAGTAAAACATTCACTTTTCTAGCTATTTCTTTCAAAATTATTTATCTCTTGCATATTAAAGTTCACATGAGTTTCTGAAAAGGAAACGTTTATTTTTTTCAATAAGTTAGTTTTGAAAGAATAGTCCAGATCCTAAAACAAAAGCTCTTCCAGAAAGAAAGAAAGAAAGAAAGAAAGAAAGAAAGAAAGAAAGAAAGAAAGAAAGAAAAGGAATTGTGTACCTTAATATATTAGGAGTGAAAAGGAGGACATTATGCAATGAGTGGTGAATGCAAAAATCCTGCCAGGCTGGAGGGGTAGCTAAGTGGTAGAGCAGCCCTGGCCTAGCAAGTATGAGATCTTGGGTTCAATCTCCAGCAAAACACATACACACACACACACAGCAAGAATACCAAATAAAACTTTATCAAAACATATTCAAATACATAATTGTGAAATACAAATTAATAATTTTATAGAAATAGAAATTATGGAAAACTGAGGAAAAAATCAAATGTCCAAGAAAGAGACAACTTGTTAAAAATGCAATCAGTAATTAAATAATCTATTCTCCTTAAAAGACACCACACCTAGCCAGTTTAACACCTGGTTTACCAAAACTTCAAGTACCACTCCTTTTGGTACTATTTCACAGATGAAAAAAAGAAAAATCTAGACAAATCACTCCACAGAGACAGTACAGTCTTCATATTAAACATAGATAGGATAATAAAAGAAAGTAAAATGATGTACTAACCTCATATTTGAGCACATTATGAAGCTTCTTTAGTCTTCCTTATCATCTAAGTAGAATTAATCACTCCCTATTGGCTCCCATTATAGCTCACACATAGTCTCCCCACAGCACCATCCACAATTTTTTTCTCTACTGAGGTCTGAATTCAGGACTTGCTACACACTAACCAAATGCTCTACTGCTAAGCTCATTCACACTTTTAATGCACGTACACATTTTTACATTTGTCTTTCACTGACAGACACTAAGATCCTTGCTGGTAGGATAGTTTCTTATACATATTTCCTATTATGAAATACAGTTTAATAGCTGCCGAATGACATGGTTTCAGGTAGAAATACCATTAATGTGTACGTGCAAGAAGTGAGAAACAATGCGTCAATGAGCAAACGCCTCTGACTGCAACATAAATTTACATAAGGAAATAATACTGGAAAGGTAGGCCAAGGCCAAGCGCATGAGTTTTTCAGTGTGGGACTGAGTTTGGTTTCAGAATCTACTGAAGACATTTATGTGGGTGATGGCTAAATCAGAACTGAGCTTCAGAATCCAGATAAGCACATTTTGGAGCAGTCAGTGACCTGGAGGTTACTTATCAGGTTGAAATTTATTACTTTAAAAGTAAGAAAACTAAAGCCAGTTAGGGTACATAATCAACCTAAAACCATTCAACATAAAATTAGGAAGAAGCAGGCAAAAGCTTAGAGAGAGGAAACTCCATTAAGGTCACACAATAAGAACACGGTACAATCAACAAGCAAACATGGGTTTGTTCAACTCTAAAGTCTGTGACCTAGATAACACCAAGCAATAAGGAATATAGACCATACGTGCCCTAATTTCATGTTAGTGTTCTCATTTCAAACAGTTAATTTATTTAATTAGTTTTACTTTTATTATATAGCAAAACATGTGTAAGAATTATAATTAGTTTAATTATGTTATGTCATTTTGATGAAGTCTTTTTTTCCATGAGCTTCTGGACTCAAGATCAATAAAATAAAATGGTGGGTGTGAGCCAGAGTGCAGAGGAACACAAAATACTTGCTCAGATCCACACCTAGAGCACTACAAATGACCTTAGTCACAGCAACAGAATTGGGAAAGTTTCAAAAAAGGAAACTAAGAAATGTATAGCAGAGAAAAGATTCTTAGGGAAGACATACATAACAGAACTCTTCAGTCTTAAAACACCGCCTGAAAGTTTATAAAACCAAGAGGTAGATAAGTATAGAGAAAATTTAGACATGGTCAGCTCAGAATACCAATTCTGAGAAACACTTGAAATCTAAAAGTAACAGATTTAGGAAACAGATTTAGAAAATATAGGAGCATACCATTTCACCCCAGCAAAACTTCAACAAAAAAGGACAGAAGCTCTTATTTTATCAGTGACTAGTTCATCTCACGAACTCCATTTTTCAAACAATGGAACTATAGCACACAGCACTTAGTAACTTGTTCACGCACAGAGAGCTAGGTAGTGGCAAGGCCAGGATTTGAACCCGGAAGCCTGTGATCTTAATCATTATATTATTCCAGCCAGTCCTGAAATTGTCTAGTTCTCCTCTAGCTCTGATACCTTTTAGGATTTCATTTCATATGTAATTTCCTTTTCTTTGAAAAAAAAATAAATTATAGGTTTAAAATTCAATTTATTTCAGAATAGAAAAACTAGTAATATTATTTTATTTGCACTTCATTTAAAGTGTTTATATTTCTTTTAGGTTTACCTCCAGTTTTCCTTGAGCATAACCCAGCAGCAGCAGATTGGCTCTGTCCTTCTCAGAAGCAATGGGGGCCCATGGCCAAGCATCATCACTGACCAGTGGCCACCAACAAATAACTACATCCTGAGTGCAACTGATAGCCAGATGACGTTGCGTTGTCCTGTTTACTGGGCCAGGCACTTCATAATAGGAAATCTAATGGTTTTAAAAAAAAGCATACAAGAAATATTTCTTTTAAAAGATGAAAAATCCTCAAAGTATTACAAAAATTAAAGCATCTGTAAATGTAGATACATGCAAGTAAATATGCATGTTAAACATGTGCTTATGAAGGTGTCAGAATTTACCAAATTCTTTTGACACATATATAAAAAAGACATATGTTCAAAATTCTCCCCATTTTTAGCAGAGGAAAGGAAAAGAAGAAATCTGAATTAGGGAGGAACTGGATGCAGCAATTCCAATCAATACCAAAATGTACAGTCATGGTTGCTTGACAGCATCGACCTACACATAGGATTTAAGACCAGCTGTATTAAATGACAAGTTCAGTATTGCTGACCAAGAGTGTCCGACTACTGTTTAAGACATAATATGTTAACAATGACTGACAACAATAAAAGGAAAAACAACTCGAGGCAAATATCTCTTTAAAGAATATATGAGACATATACACATATATTCTGCATAAAAGGGATAAGCCAGAGCATCATGCGTAAAAGTTTATGCAGCTTCTGAGAATTATGCTTTTCTCTCTTAGGAAGGATTTGTAGAATTTATTATTCAAACTATGTTATTTTGGAACATGGTTATTTGAAAACATAAGCACGACACCATCTGGGTGACACATGCCAAGGAAATATAGATTGCACCGTATTTCTGCTTGTGGAATTAATGGAAGGTTGATAGCTTGGAAGAAAAAAAAAAACTATCTTGCCATTGCTGGTCAGCAATAATCGAACCACTTTCTGGGGATTAAGCGCATGGCTAAGCCTACTGGACCAGACACTAGCAAAGGGCAGGGGGTCTTCTTATCAGAGAAATGCTTCTGGAGCCAGTCTCACTACATGACAGATTGCTTTCATATTCCTGTCTGCAAGGCAACAAAGGATGGCAGTAATGCGATAATGCCAGAGTGCAATGGGTGTTAAGAACCCGTCGCATTTATGTATTGTATTTAGTAAATAATCAGGCTCATCCAAATTGTGATCTCACCACTCAACCAAGGCCATTAAAATCAAGGTTAATGCTTTAATAATCCCCTGCTATTTTTTTTTCAATATGGTCAAAAGGAACCCTTTTCTATTTGCATGGCCATAATATTATTGACCTCTTCATCCTGTGAATGCACATCAAAAGGAACTGAAATCAAAGTAATTACCAGTGTTGTTCTCTCATGGTAAACATTTAACTCCTTGCACTGTCCCTTCACTTTTAAACTGAATTGGATTTTTAAAATATAGATAGGAAAACTTGTTAAAGGTCAACAGTTTCAAAATACTTACCCTGAAATTTTCTTTGCCAGAATTATTTCAAATCTAAAAGAATTATGTTATGGTATAGCAATAAAGAAAGACAAAACTGTAAGACTCTATATTACTTCCTTGTTTTAAAATCTAAATGGGCACTGACAAAACATGTACTTCATGCTTTTAAGTGGAAATTCTTATATTTAAGTTCTCGATGTAATTATTTTAACTTTCTTGAGAGAAATACGATGGAATTGCTAAGTGCTTAAAATATACACACATTAAATTTTAACATACAAATTATCGTGAAAGCATTTCACAGATTTCTAGAGGAAGAAATAGAGTTAAAATGCCTGATTGGCATTTTCAGTCCTCACATAATACAAATATTATTTAAAATTTCATGTTTCCTAAAAGTTTTAATGGCGTCAGTACTTTCTCTTGATGATCAGGAGGGCAAATAAAATTAATATAAACTTCTAAAAATATCCTCCCAGTAGATAAGTGATAGTTTTGACTAATTATCACACATCTATAAAAATTGAACCAGTAAGTGAAATTTATAGGTTTTCCAAAGGGAAACAGATATGGGAGTACCCATAATCCTAATTTCCCAAATACAAAGGCAGAAAGAGTAAGCTAATTAATTCCCTTCAATTATAAGGACCCAAATGCCAGGTCTCTCTTCTAAATCACTTCATAAGAGAAAGTGACACCCTGACAGTTTTTCTCTCCTTTCATTACCAGGTAGCTAGATCTCTAAGCTGAGAAGACTTTACCAACCTATCCATCATACATCAGATAGTTACACAAAATGTTATCAAATGGCATTAAATTTATTTTAAATGCTTAAATTAAGGCATACTGGTATATTTAAAAGACCAACATTAATAAGTAAACATTTTAAATAAATCTAAAGTTAGCCACTTGGAAAATAACATCCCTTTAGGAATGCTAAAAGGACTCATTTTTTAATTTTCATTTTTTGTTAGTATATGCTTATGATATATAATAATTACATTCATCTTGAGGAGCTGGTACCTTCACATATAGCATTTTGATCATTTTTTTACTTCTTCCCCCACCACCTTTTCCCCTAGATTCCCATTACATTTCCACAGATCTACCTCCATTTCCTACCATTTCTCTTTTATTTTGTTTAAATTATTATTATTAATAATAATTTAAATTATTATTATTTTGTTTTGTTTAAATTATTTCTATTTAGGGTCTTTCGTGTCACAAAAACCACGTAATATGTAACTTCCTGTTTCTGATGTATTTCACTTAATGTTAACAGAATCATTTTGACTAACCAGATATAGTTAGTATCATGGATTTCCAATTAAAGAAAATCAATACTATACGAAGTTTCATAGAAGCTCTACAAACTTGCAAGCAAAAGCAGACTGTAGATTAATATCATAATGGAAAATCTCATTTAGTGTATTTTACTCAATATTAAAACCTTTTTAAATAGGAATAGATGCTTCTTCTAAACAAGATTACACACATCGCCCCCTCCAGATCACTACCACCTCAACTATCATAAACAATAATCTCAAAGGGTAAGAAGTTAGGTTACATACTATTTTCCAAACACAAATTTTAAGACAGAGAGCTGACTTCAAAAAAATCTCTGCCCTCACTATAGACAGTCCAGGTATGGCCTAAGGGTGCATCTTTTTTTCAGGAAGCTGTATATCAGCTCTGTTCCTAGTGAACAGTGAACTGTCTCAAATCCACGTCACAGAGGCTGGATCAATCTTGCAAACACAAGTCACCGCTGAAAAGAAGCCCTGAACTGAAACAGCCTAGAAAATGTATTACTCATCCTAGAAGAGAGTATGCCCTCCCGGCAGTTAAAATGTAATGTGGCAAAATTTAAACACATCATTTAAAATAAAAATCCTGCCTGAACAGGTGAGATGTAAAGTCTCTGATATAAGGAAATAAATTACTTGGAGTTAGTGAAGGGCTACTGCATATGGAGGAAATTTTATTTTCTCCAGTTAGAGTGGGTCCTTCTCACTCCTGATATATTATACTCTTCTACTAATCTTTGAGTACATTCTTCTTTCTTTCATTTCTTGTGAAATGGAAATGAAAGCAGCTATAGAGGTTCTTGGGAAAAAATGAAAATAGTGCACATACTATCACCGGCAAGAAAACTGTTTTCAAAAATGTAACTGGCCTCTTCTATCCATCTTTCACTTCCATAACTACTACATGAATTGCTCCAAATATGCCATTATTAGACATCCTCAATCTCTGAACAATGAGCATACAAAAGTAAACTTTAAATGGTCACTGTTTGCAGTAAGTGAAGCTTAATTCTATAATAATTTTGATTTTTCTGAAATCCAGAAATGTTCAAGAGTAAGCATCACATCAGTTCGTGTAATAGTCTTACTTTAATAATAATATGGCTATGTAAGTTGAAATCTTACCTTATAATCCAATGCTGAGAGCTTTTCCAGTCTTTTGTTTACATCAAGAGAATCCGTCTTCTTAGTAAACTGAATAAAACATAGTTTACTTTGTGCCAAAAATGATAAGAGGATGAAACTGTCTGTAAGGAGGGCTAAAAAAAATTTTGATAATACCAAATTAGATTAAATTATAACAGATTTTTTAACTAAAATATTACAAAAAGCTATTTTCAGAAGATAAATATTAACTGGAATCACTAAGGTCTCCTAAATGTCATCATGATGTTCTACAAGGATATTAACAATATTAAGAATAAGTAATACCCATCCACCTATATTTTGCCTGTGACTATTTCAGTATACACTGATGTTTGGGGATAGCCAATAACTGAGACATGTGTGGAAGCAGAAACAGACAAGCATAAAATACTATTAAATACCTGAATGGATGATTTTTTAAAAACTACTTTTATTTGTGCTCTAGTTCTATGTTTATATTATATAAACCATCTGAGGGAAAAAAGTAGATTGATTAGGAGACATTGATCAGTGTCCTCTACCAATCTCATTGTTTTTAATTTAAAAACAATTTCATCAGCAATTCTTCTTTTGAGGATATAGGAGTTAAATGAAATAAAGCACATTATACCCAATATGTACATTACATAAATTAATATTTAATAGTGAAGGCTAGCAGAAACACTTCCATTGCTCTATTTCTGACACATATAAGTAGGCCAATGCTTAATAACATGGGTGACATAAAGGGCCATTAGTGGTATAGGAAATTACTGATAAAAACATATTATAGGAATTTGACAAACCTTTTGTATTTTCCCTGGCATAAAGAAATTAAATGCTTTATACATTTTTCTTTATTTCCACAGCCCTAGCCATGCAAGTGGTGACCAACAGTGGATCTACACAATTACAGGAAAATCTGGACAACTGCCAAGAAATCACATTGTTATCATGGTCCCATGAGAGTGTATTATTTTAGGTATAAATAAAAGAAGTGAAAAAAGATAGCTCAGAGACATGAATAGTATTGGAAGTTTCCTTTTAATTCTTATACAGGAGCATCAATATGACAAAATAATCACAGTCACAATTTCATTTGCAGTGTCAACAAAGGGTTTGATTGTTAGAATATGGAAACAGAGCCTCTTCCACAGGGAAGCTTCCTTAGTACATGCTACAAGGAAGGGGAAATGGCAAGTTCACAAGCCTACCCTGCTTGTTATCATCAGTAATGTTGCAATGTTGCTAATTATAGCCATCCTGCAGAGTGCTTTTAAGATGATGTGATTGTTTCTGATTTACTCAGAGGTAGCTGGTGAGAGCACACAGAAGAAGCAAGGTTTCTTCACTCTCACCTTTATCCTTTCCACTAGACTACATTTTCCTTTGATTAGTCAATTTAAGATACTGGACGTTTTCAATCCTTTATGATAATGCAATCTACCTCTAGAGCTTTTTACCTTGAAGAAAAGGACATGATCATAAAAATTCACAAGTCAGCACAGTGTAATGGAAAAAAAATGAGAGTTGCAGTCAGAACCTATGTTCAAATCTCAGTTCAGTCACTTTCTAGCTATATGAGCCACAGTAGCTCAGCATTAGTTTCCTTACTTTAAAAATGTAAATAACTCACCTTATATGGTTGTTTTCTGGGGTTAATGAAATAAATAGGTTGGCACCCAACCTAGTTTTTATGGCTCAATATAAACGAGTAAACTCGCTATTCAGTAAGTGGCTTAAAATCGTTTTCTGTATGCTTGTAGCACACTGACTATGGTGTCACCTGATAGAACCAGATTAATCTAGTGTATGAGAATATGGCACTATTTTTTTAAATTTAGAAATATAACCACAAATCTGTCAAAAGTTAGTATTCACAGACCTTAGTAAAAAAGAATTTTCCTACAAAAACTGAAGCATGTATGATTTTTTTAAACTGGTGGCAGTGTTGCCATATTTATGTTATTCCATTGAAAATTCATTTGGAAATAAAAGCATTTGAAATGTCAACAATGAAGGAATAATTCTGAAAAAATATAAAACCTATTTCGAAAATGTTTACTTTTTTAGGAATGGGTAAAAAATACTCAGAATATAAGCCTAACACTTAACAAGAAAGGAAAAAAAAATCACTGATATTAAATTTAGGTTGGAACCTACATAGGTCCCAGGGGTTGTAAGTATACTATTACAAGCAATTACTTGTTGTGTTTGCAGGTCCCCAGTGGTAATAATTAGTCTACCTGTTGACACACTATTTCTCCTGTCCCACTGTTAATGCAGGCAATTGATTTGCACATGGGGGTAATTACCATCACTGATGGTGTCTGAGATGAGCTTCCCCACCAGGCTTCTGTCAATCACCACTTTCTCCAGCTGTGGCCCAGAAAGGCTTAGAGACACCAGCACACCTGAACCAAAGAGGAGCTAAAACCAGGTAAGGGGGGAAGGGGAGGAAGACATGCTGGGTATTAGAATCTTTTAAAATCTTGCTCCAAATGTACAACTTAAACAGATATTTACACATGTATTTACACCATGAAATTATAAAGAGGTTTTCTTCACTGAAAAACAATCACTCCAACATTTCAGAGTAAAAAGAAACAGACAGTAAACACACTAAGTACTATACTGATCAAAGCTATATGCAAAAAGCTAATTTAGTGAATGTTTATTATAAGCCTAATCTTCTAAATACTTAGTGCCCATGCAGAAATAACTACTTTGGTTTGCATGTATAAAATATAATATGTTCTATATTAAAATATTTTAAGGTTACTGTTTGTATCAAAATGTAAAAGAATTTTTAAGTTTTGAATAATCATCATTACACATTAAATAAAGAAGAGAAGCCACTATTACAATGTAAATGGCTAATGTTATGATTTATTTGGAATTTAAACCTTACTTCCAAAAAAAAGACCTTCTGAGTGTAAAATATTAAAATACATGTAAATCAATGCAAGCAAGTAAAATGTTAAACTTTAAAAATCTCATGATACATACCATAAACAATTTCACAAGAATAGACAAAGAAATAAAATATACAGGCTTTATCAATATCAGCATTCAAGGAACCACCCAATAAAAGATGATTGGATATCACCACTGTAATTTTACACCATTCCTTTCCATTTGTAGCAACCTAATTCATTCATCTCCAAATGTTTAAAGCTTCTGAAAGAACCATACATATGTGTATGCTTGTTATCTACGAGATTTTGAAATATCAACATTGGAAGAAATTGTTTCACCTTCAAAGCAACAGACTCAAAGCTGATGAATCATGGAATAGCATATGGTATAAGAAGGAAAAAAAACAATTGTCAGTAAACTAATCATGAACATGCTAGCCAAATTCAAAGATAATTATGAGTTAAACAAAACAGGGGAATCCCCCACCCACCTAGGCATCATGTCTCAGCTAGAGAGTGTGATTCTGTGTCAAGACATATTCGGGTGTGTGTGAAAGAAGAGCAGCCCACAGGAGCAGCGTCCTAGAAAGAAACACCACTATTCCCTCACTGTCCAGGCAAGTGAGTCAGAAAAGAAAATGAAGGGTCTTTCTGTACATATTGTTATAATTCTTGTCCTGGTCATCAGAAACCTTACTCTTCCTTGATTTAATGGACTGCCCCATTTCATGTTCATGCCTCTGGGCAGCAGGGGAGACTTATTCATCTTTATGAGTTCTGGAGACTAATAAAAGAAGGTACATTTGTTCCAAGAACTTCCAAATACTTCATAAATTAATTAATCTCTATTGCATTACATCCAGCCCTGCATTATATCTTGATGGCAAATGCTGATATATAATTACTACAGGAATTCCCCCATCGCAACATAGCCTATGGTCTTCATTCCCCAAATTGTCCCTCCTCACGTAACTTTGGGATCTCTTCCTTACCTAGTTTTCCCTCTCCACAGGCTTTCTCCCTTCCCCATTTTGCTCAAAATATCTCTAAAATCTGTCTTATTCTATTCATTTCTTCCTATTAAATATTTACACCTATACTCTTATGCACCTCTTTTCCTAATTGTTCACTGACACCAGCTCCTTATGGGTACTGGCTAAGCCATATTTACCTTTGTAACTTAAATGCCTACAATAATTCTGGGCACATCATAGGTCCTCAATTAATGTTTAGAGGTATCTAGTAGACAATTAGAAATGAGTCTCAAGTTCAGGGGTGAGCAGGGGATAATATTTGCATTTGGGAGTCACCAACAATATAAAGATGGTATTTAAAGTTATGGAATTGGACAAGCTCTCCTTAAAAAATGAACAGGAGGAGAAAAAGAGGTCCAAGGTCTGAGCGCTAGGATATTCTAATCTTTAGAGATGTTAATTAGGTAGGCCACTTATTGAAACCAAGATTAGGTATTTGTCAGGAACAAGGATGTCCACCCTTTCAGATCTCTAAATATTTTGTGGCTAGAGGCATTCCTGATACCACATCTTTTTTAATATGAAGGCATAAATTAATAAGGTAATTCATGTATTTTATAAAACAGCCTGTGGGAAAGCATAAAGTTTCCAAAGTACTGGTGCCAAAGATACTCCTGGATGTGGTAAAGGAGATAACCAGTATTAGAAAAAAAATAGTCTGAAACTCAGGGAAAGAATATTCCAGCCCAGACAAGAAAGTCCTAGTTTCAACTCTGATTATTTCTCCAAAGCAATTAGTCCTAAAGTCCTCAAAATGAAAAAGGCTTTCGGACATTATAAAGTTTAGTACGATAAGAAGAAACAAGGAAACAAAGGCTATGTCCTGTTACATAGCAAGTAGTTGAATTCTAGTAGCTCAGAAAATGAAAAAGAGCAGGCCAAGGGGCAAAAGGAGGTACCTCTGAAGCAGATCCGAGTTTTAGAAGAGCTCTAAGATAAACTAATGAGAACACAAGTGGGATTTCTCAACACTGTCCTTTCAATGTTATCTTTTGTGCAAGAAACAACTAAGGGAAAATAACTGAGACTTTTCCTTTTGTCTGATACTCCTCCAAACAAGAACTGCCTTCCCTGTTATTCCTGCTATGACCATGTCTCCAGCTGTTGACTTTACATTTTCTTCAGTAAGTTCATACTACAGAGCTGTGCTTTCTTTTTAAGACATCTGAAAGTGATTCTCAGCATCTTGAGATAGCTCTTCAAATTGGCTCAATTTTAGAATCCACAGTATTTAGATTGAGTACTTAATTGAAAATAAGATGGCACTTTGAGAAGAAAGAAAATTATATCGGATGGCATCATTAATCAAAACCAAAAAGAACACAAAAATTCATTCAACAGTTCAAAAAATTCTCTCAGTGTCTCCCATATACTAGATAACAGGAAACAGGGAGACAGATCTTTTGCAAACGGGAAGCGGTCAAAGAGAGAGGAGGAAGGATAGAGAGGGAAGTAGAAGGGGAAGTAAAAAGAACGAAGATGTGTTACGCACAGGTACCAACTCCCTACAATGAAGATAATCATTATGTGTTGCAAACATGTACTAAAAAATAAAAATTACAAAAATAGTAATGGAGTTCTTATATAATTCTCAATCAGAACAATAAAGCAGCTAAACAAAGGTCTCATACTAGTGGGAAAGTTGTGACCAAAACAGGTCTACTCATGACATTTCTATACTGTCCCTGCTACTGAGGAAATAGCCTTAATTCTCACTTTTCAGTTGACTTTCATGGAATACCCCGTTTTCCTTTCTCTAGCTCTTTTCTTTACTCTAAACCAATGATGGCGAACCTTTTAGAGCTTTCAGTATTACAACCTACTGTGGCACATGTGCTATAGGTTTGCCACCACTGCTCTAAACCAACGGTTCTAACCTAGGGATGATTTTGGATACCAGGGGACTGCCAGCAATCTCTGAAGACATTGTAATAGCACCTCCACAGAGCCTAAAATGAAGACTACTTGTTAATGAATTGCTGTGAAGGTGAAGAGTTTTCCACATCTCCATCAAGTACATTTGGGAGTTCCTCAAATTCTAATCAACACTTGTCTCACATAAAGAAAAGATAATGTGATAAGCTGTCCTCTGACGTGAATAAGGATCAGTCGGTCAGATGTGTCAACAGAGTGATGGACAGTGCACATTCCAGATCAGAAGCCTGGAAGAAACCTGTTCTGTGTGTCTCTAAGAACATTCAGGGCTATGACTCTGATGACTAACGCCAGTTGCGAAGACACAGAGAGCCCCAGGGTGAGTTACACAGCTAACCTTAGTGCAACAGAAATATACTGCTAAACACCTCCTTGCTTTTGTTCTAATTCTCTGCTCACCAATCAGCTTTCTTATCTATAAATTAGTCTCTTGAGTAATTCATCCATCAGGTAGGAATGCCCCAAGCAAATAAGCAATGTTTATGATGCCAGAAATATCTCACATTGTAAATTGATAAATTGCCATTCTAGTCAATAAATCAGTCACTTCTGAGTTTGGCTATTGTGAATGTTGTTAGTACAAGAAAATAAATGGAGATAACATAAGAGATAAATAATTTTAATTAATCAGAAATTTTCTGCCTAAGTCCATGGTATACTGTTGAAGTGAAGATGAAATTATTAAAAGTTACAGAACTACAAAAGCAGCAGCATCCCATTTTACAAGGGAAAAAACAAGTATGCTATGCCTATACACATACATACTGAAATTGTATAAACACAAGAAAATATCAGAAAGAATACACGCAATATTGTTGGTAGTAGACACATCAGAGATGGAACTGGGAGCTGGAAGGCATGAAATTTATCTTTTTGCCTAATAGATTTCTGAACAATTGATACTAGGAATTCTTCTACTTTTGGTTATTATTGGATATTTTTATATAAAACTTTTCAAAAGTAAACAATGAAGCTCTTAAAATATTTAACGATAAATGAAACTAAAAAATATCTAACCATTTTTATTTTATGGTTTTAAAGTAATGGCACAAATATGTTTCTAAATTAACAATGCACTAAGAATGCTTCCTTCCTATTATTAGAAACTCTTATGAGCTTTAGATAAATTCTAGAATTTAAAGAAAAGTCTCTTCAGTTCTTTAGAAAAACAGTGAGGTTGATATCTGATTTATATAAAATAAAGTAATATTGATAAAATGTTGTAGAAGAACATGAAAATTTTTATTTTATTGCTGATCAGCTTGATAACAGCACAACCTATTCAGGTTTATTTATTGGTGTCCCAGTAGAGGGCATTGTTAATGCGTGAGTCCCACTGATCCTGGCCTCCTGGATCCTCACCTGGTTATCTGAAAAAGGCATTTCTGAGTGAATGATCAATTTTCGTTAATAATAGGTGTGTTATATATTGCTATGTGAAACAAGTTACAGTACCATTAGGTACAGAAATGTAGGTAAAAATCAAGGTTCTGGGGGAAGCACACCAATGGCTGGTTGCTTCCCAGTCTGAACTCCAGGCTGG